AGTGTGAATTCAATTCAAATACAATTAACACAATTATATACGATGCATATTTGTGATTGGTATATACAGAGTGGTCCACCGTGATATCCCAATTTTTTTTCAGTAAAAGGCCAAAATTAAACTTTTATATACAAGTTAATATTTTCTAGAAAAAATTATTTTTTTTATTTTTATTTTCTCGAAAACTTTTTTTTCTGGTTAAAAGGCCTTTCAAAACCATCACATCTCTCACACACTCTTCCATTCTTCTCTATTCATTGTTCTTTATTTCCAATTCATTCCTCCACCGAGCGATTGCATATTCTTTTTGAAAACTACATTATATAATAATTTAAATGTATTATAATCGAAAATTGAATTAGTGGTTTCATAATTTATGAAAGCAAATGTATGTTGGGGAAGCGTCATCGGAATTAATAGCTTAGTTAAATTAGTATGATTTAGGTAGTTAACAAATTTAAAATAGAATATCTTGTCCTTAATCATCCTTATAGATGCACCATCTGTTTTAATGTTATTTATCTGCATATTTATACGGCAGCACATAGGCGTGCGCAGGATTTTGTGTCGGGTGCAGCATACATTTTTAACCGGCCCTAAAGAACAATAAGCAGCCCACTTATTTCCTTTATATAGCATATCCCCCCTCCCGAATTCTTTTTAGCCCTACTGTATAAAAATTTAATATTTTATAACTTCATATAATTACTTTTGTACCCAAATTATTATATGGTATATCCCCCCCACCATATAGATTCATCACTATGACTAACCTATTATAGTTATAAGAAATATAGTAAATTGTAGATAAAAAGTAATAATATTTTTATGAAATTTAGTATATTCATTTATACTTTTGTAAATATATTTAACATCACATATATAATAAATGACACTACTCAGACTGCAGTAACAGCGAAAAATCGTTATTCAATTACAAACATAATAGTTGATTCGGTTATGTGATTACTGATTACTAATTATGGCATCTATTCCGTTTTCATATCGCTGCACGTCTGGTTGAATGGTTAATGCGCTATTGTCATTGTGGTTGTGTCTGTATTTGTATAATGTATAATCTAGTGGGTAGGCACGTCGAATTTACCCAATAATATCCATCTATTTTTAGATTTGTATTGATAAAATAATATTATCATTTTTCATTTGAATAACATTGATGAACATTTATATTTTAATTTAATTATAAACTCAATATGTTTAAAATTATTCATTCTATGTATACCTTTCAAATAAATATCTACCAGTCCACTAAATCTAAGATAAATTGTCAGGTGCAGCGAAAGCAACATTCACTGCACCCGTGCGCACGCCTATGCGACAGCAGATAACACTGTCGCATTTTCATATTAATTAACGTTTTAGACGTACACCAAATTATCTTATTTATACTAATTTATTAAAATATTGAATAAAATTAACTAGTGCGCTACCCTTTCTTATAAACTTATATTTGCTCTAATAATTTAAGAAACAAAAAATTCAATTTTCTATTGCAATACATTGAAATTGTCGTAATAACTTGTATCAAAACTTGTATGTCATATAATTCTATAGAAATGACTAATTCAAAATTTATTTTCCCCGTCGATTAAGGGATAAAAATATAAATCTGATTATAAGTGCCCCCTTCTATTAAATCGTAATAACACAAATAACTTTGAAGATAATTCTATCGGAATATCATGATGGGTCACCCTGTGTACAATATAGGTAGAGTCATAAGAGAGTATTGGCATCGATCTGAATATTTGTCGTGACTAACAAGTGAAATTTATATCGTACATATGTATGTGCGCATATTATTAATTAATATACACATTATTATTACAATATAAGTGCGCTATATATTGGTGTGGGCGTTGTAACGAAATTAGCATTTTTATTTTTTTTTCTTCTATCGAATAGAAAAGATTAATATTCGGTTGTGATGAGTCAATTACCTTGTACTCTTTTATTGTGGATCCGTGTTCAGTATTATGTTATAAAATGAGGTCGAATGGTCGATACTTTAGGCTTTATGTACATTTAAAATTTTTAAAAAAAATACAGTAAAACCTCTCTATAATAGAATCACTGGGAACCAACAAATTGTTTGCGTTGCAGAGAGGATGAAAAAAATTAAATTTTCAATAGTAATATTGTTATATCTCCTTGTGTGTAAGTTTTTCATCTCGACATTAAAAGCAAATATTTTTCCGTTATATTGCTTTACGTATACATGTATAAACGTGATCGCGACTCGTATACGTCCACGCAGATACCTACGAGTCATAGATTTCACAGACGCGACTAGGGTCGTCCCGAAGATGAAAATCAAGGGGGGTGAATAACATGAAAAATGCCGACTGCAATTTTTTCACTCAATGCATGTAGGATAATTAACTATATGTAGTCGTATTTTTGCTTTTTAACATGTATACATGTGTCAGTGTCGCACGTTCTTAAAATCGCCACGGTTTAATTATATATAATAAGTAGTTATATGAATTTTATTCGAGAACACACTGTATTACGAAATATGTAATATTTGTTTTCCGTAAGTAAAATCAGATCCGTCCGGGCTATGATGAAACAAGTCCGACTGCCGACTGGTGTTTTCGTCGGGGGTAAGACACCCCCTCCCCAAGACTAGCCTTCGGGACGGGCCTGGGCGCGACGACCGCCATTGGTGAGGAATAACTGTCTTTCGGCGGCAGGCGATGGAGAGGGGGTTCGCTGTTGTCTGTTCGACAATCATCGCCGTCGCAACAAGTTAGCGCGCGTACAATACACCGTGCGTGAAGTGTTTGTTATAGCGTCCGCGCGCGACGACGTAGGAGACGATGTGTGTGAAATTTTTCACACATCACGGTGTACATAATCGTTTGTTGTACACGTATTCTGCGCGCAACACATGACACACACTCATTATACACTGCATTATGCGCGTACACACGTTGTGGACGCGTTACGCCGATCGGCACACAATACGCCGCGCCGTCGCGCCTAAACAACCGTATATTATTGGCAATTTTGTTATCTCGTACGGTGCGCGTAGGCGCACGGAAAACGTTAAACGGTACCCGTTCGCGAATCCATCGCGCGCGCGCGCGTACACGTTCGCACTTCACACGCACACGCGCGCGAGCAAGTCGGTAGCGCAAGTGCGATGGCCGCCGCCCGTCCATTGTGCGCGTCGTCGACGCGACATAATAAATAATACATTGTAAGAATATCTCTTACGTTCCCTAACACGGCGCATTATGTTCCTTAACGCACCGTGTTATATTGTGTTATAACGTAATATATGTGTGCGCTCTTGACCGCTACCGCTGGTCGTCTCTCTCCACGGTCCCTTAACGCACGCGCGCACCACCACACGTATCAAACATATTTTTGTTATCGTACGCGTCCGTCGTCGCCTGTTGTTGTCGTCGTCGTCGTCGCCGCCGCCGCGTCCGTCCGTGTTAATGCGATTTAGCGTGTATTACGTTTATTACAATATCGGACGCGCGTACAAATATATACACGTATGGTACCTGTTGTACGCGCTGCGAGCGCGGCCGGTGCACGCCGGACAGGCCTCGTTTAAATTGGTTTCCAATGACTGGGCGTTTTTTTTTTTTTTTTTTTTCATATATATTTTTTTTCTCTCTTTCTATCCGTTCTCACACCGGCCCCGATATTATATTAATATTATTTATCATTATTATTATTATTATTATTATTATTATTATTATTAAATATAGCCACGACGGTTAACTCGCCGTAACGATACGTGTGTGTGTGTGTGTGCACATTTTTTTTTCTCCGCCCGAACAATAATAGAAAAAAAAATATATATATATATCTATATCACATATTAGATTAGATTAGGCGTGGTGTATTGCTGCTGTTTCTGAACACCGTACGACGACGACGACGACGACGATGACGATGATTTTCTGGGTCGCATTGTACTCGTACGACGTGTAATATTAATAAGCGTGAGATTTTTCTCTGAGGTGTAGTTTAATTATCGACGACAATACGTAACATAATAAGGTGTAAAAGTGCGTGCGTGCAATATATATATATATATACGTATAATACTCACATCAGTGGACATTGCCAACGTTTACCTCGAGTGATCGTATTCATGACGAACGTTATACGTTTGTGTTTTTCTTTTTTTTTTTTTTCGTCACGTTACATGATTACTAATATACTCAGGGCCGGATTGGCCTATCGGGAAATCGGGAATCTTCCCGATGGGCCGGACCTTGTTTGGGCCGCTCTATATTATTATATAATTACCAAAAAAAAAAGTTTTGTTTTGTAAAATATATATATATATTTAAACGTGCATTAACATCAAACTTCAAGTTCAAGTTGAAAATGATTAAGCATGTGACTTACCCGGAACTATTATAGCTATAATTATAGTAAAGTTATTGCAGATCTTACTAATTTAGGGTGAAACTAAACAAATTTTGAAGTGGATGCAAAATAAAGCATTGTTTTTTTTTTTTTTTTTTTTGGAGGGGGGGTAAAATAGTTTATTTAGCGGTTCGTGGGCTGGTTTATTTCATATTTTCCTAGTCGAAAATAATTGCCAATCCGTCCCTGAATATATTTACGACGGAAAAATAAATGTTACAAGTTTCAAATTTTGGGATAGATTTTTCCTTCTCGATGTTAACCGGGACTTTTTTGGCGAGACGAGTCGTCAACATATTTCTTGCTTTCAAAGTTATTTATCCGAACACAAGGAATTCGACGTTTACATTGCGTCGACATCTTCATATATGATATATGTCTTCTGAACATTTTTAATAAGGAACATTTATAGTTATTAAAAACAGCTATACTTCATAAATATCACTAAACACACACCTGCACAATGATAGGAGCTCGGAAAATAATAAAAATAGATTAATTAATAACAAAAACAATGCGTGCTTACTGGTCTTCACATTTTATGCGTTTATTCAACGGTATTTTTCTACTTTTTATTGCAGGTATGGTTCCAGAACAGACGGGCTAAATGGCGCAAGCAGGAAAAGGTAGGACCACAGGCCCATCCGTACAGCGGAGGAGGCGTTGGAAATCCGTACTTAGGTGTGCCCAGTTCCATGTCGGCCGGGCGGCACAGCCCTTCGGCCACTGCCGCACTCAGTCCACTGCCTGCCAACCCGCCTTTCATTATGCCCGCAGGCATGGCCTTGGGATCGCTGGGCATCGGCCTGGGTACCCACCACCTGTTGCACGGTGGCCACCACCATCACCACCATCACCAGCAACAGTTGCAGGCCGCGGCTGCGATGGCCGCGGCGCTTCGCGGCCACAACCACGCCGGCGGAGGTGGCAGATCGCCCCCGCCGTCGTCGCAAGCGCTGTCGTCCGTGGCCGCGGCAGCCATGGAACTTCAACTGCACCAGCAACAGATGCAGCAGCATCAGCGCAGCAACGGATCCGCCGCAGCCAATTTCCGGTATCCCACCAACGCGGTACAACAGCAGCAGCAGCAACGGTCACCGCCCGGAAACGGGAGCGCGCCGAACACTCCGCCTGCAATCGTGCCGGCGCGCAGTGGCGGCTCACCTCCGCCTGCGCTTCCTCTGCAATCCACGCTATACCACCCGCAACAGTCGCCGCTGCCGTCTCCTTCGGTGCCGTCCACGCATCACCATCACCCGTACGCCGCTGCGTATCATCAACATCTGCGGGGCGCCACCGGCCAGGGGTACCAGCACCATCACCATCACCACCACCACCAGCAGCAGCAGCACCATTTCAACAGCCTCCTAGCCAACATGGCCATGGCGGCTGCGGCCATGCGACCATCGGTGGCCGGCGGGTCACCGCCGTCCCAGCACTCGTCGTCCACGACGTCCGTCGTACTGCACCCGCCACCGCCACCGCCACCGCCGCCACTCGCAACCGTTCTGGCACCACCGCCCGTACCACCCACGTCGTCTTCGTCGTCATCCGCGTCATCGCATTGTTCCGGGAACACGGTACCGCCGGTGTCCGACTCGTCCGGCGCGTCTCCGCCGCCCGCAGTGGTGCCCCGTGCAGGCAGCCGCTCCGGAAACAGCGAAGGCACGTCCAGTCCCGTGGGCTCCGACGGCCGTGCGTCCCCGACCGCGGCGACTACGGTGGTCGTCGACCCGGTGGCCGTGGCCGCAGCCGCTGCGGCCGCTGCCGAGTTGGATCGCCGATCGTCCAGTATCGCGGCGCTTCGCATGAAGGCTCGGCGACACCGCGACGAGATCCGTCAGCGCGGTGGCCCGGTCGGCGACGACTTGACCACGGCCAACGGTGGTCGTTGTTCATCCTCGTCTTCGCTGTCCTCGTCCAACTCCGCGTGATCCACTCGTGTTCAGCGAGCGCCTATTCTTGTACATATAATTCGTCACGCGTTGACGAGTGGAAGGTGTCTACGGATGATTTTTCTACGATTCTTTTAATTTTATTTTTTAATATATTATAATTCCTTTGTAAGATAGTAATTAAGTGGAATATGCAGCAAAGTTATCCGGCGAGCCTCAAACAGCGGTACATTCGTTTTTTACTTTTAAACTTCTTCGCGATAACAAATACTTTTTCCGGAAATCCGTACGACGTTGTCGGTAAAAGTTTGCTTCGAACGCGTTCGTCAAACTCTCAAACGGTTCCGATAAAATAACTCACGAAACTAACCTAACCGGATCACACGTATACTTTATCGCACCGTTTTGCTACTCTACGTATGCAAATGCGTACACTAGCCGCTTTTAATTTTCTTCTTGATTCGTTTTCCTTTATATTCGCCGCCGACGAGTAGTGTTTTTGGATTTACACGTGCATGAATCACTCCCGTAAAATAATTAAACAATTTAATAACCACATTTGACGGGTTGTTTGTATTGTTTTTGTTTCGTTAACGATCTATCGGCGGTAGGCGTCGTCTCGGGGAGAAATCGCCTCCGTTCACTGCAGTGCGTATCGTATATCATATTTATCGTTATTGTATTATTATTGTACGTTCATATTGTGTATGAGTGCAGTGACAACGGCAACAGTTTATAGAAATTCAATCGTCTCTGGCGTGCCAGAACCGCAGTAGTCATTGATCGACCGAGATACACCCATGTGTGGTGTGATACATATAAATATAATAGAAACGACTGCACTCAATCGATACATACACACACACACGTACACAAACAACGATGTAATAATAATAATACGCACATTTTTCCAAACATAATAAAGACGACGATGGTATATAATTGGTATTTTAACGAACCAAACGTGACGTTGCTCAAACTCGCTCTCGAAGACGCGGCGCAAAACGAATCGAAAATAAAATCAAATTAAAAACCACAAACGAATCCCATCTGCTGCTGCGTATCTGCATGGTATACCGTCCTCGCGAGTCCGTCGTCTTCTTAACGATTTTTATTTTCCCGTTTTCGAAAAGTGGCGAGGTTAGACGTTTCGTGTAGGTGTATTACCGAGGAAAAAACACATATTGTTTGTTTGCGGTTTAAGAGTACCGAGATACTTTATTCTTGCTGAGGGTGGTGACCGCATATCGTATTAACGGTCTAGAATTGCAGTTAAGTGCATATATAATAAATGCGGTGCACTTTGATGCACAGTAGGTACAGCGTCGCTATTCATCCGTTAATACGTCGTGCAGTTTTTGAACCGCAGTAGTAAAAATGTAATTTTGAATTACCTACATTGTATTCGTCGTCGGTGCAATAATTGTCATATGTGTGTCATCCCCGGAATCGTGATTTTTTCTAAAAAAAAAAAAAAAAAAACCGCCGATTTCAAATGAAAATGATAAATATAATTTAAATTACTGGCATGTTGCGTGTGTACTAATATGGTAAAGTAAAGTATACGAGTGTGATTCCTAACGTGTAAAGATAACACTAGTGTCGATGAAAACATTTTAGAAAATAAACCAACGACTGCTGATCAATATTTGAGATCGCCAATATTTCATTTGAGAAAATATATTTATAATATATTTATAATATATTTTTCGTTATTTTCAAGAGTAGACGCACACATCCCATGCGTGACGTTTTAACCCTTCAACGCGTATAAAAGTCGTCTCGCGCTTTTATACCGTATAATATATTAATTATTATTATTATTATTGTTTGTTAGTATACACAATACTATTGTACGCCAAATATTTAATTATTAAGATAAAACATCTTATACATCATTATATATCTTATATAAATATCATAATATTATTCATTACATTATAAACAGATTATATTTTTTTTCTACGTGCATATACATATCGTAGTGATGTGTTTGCACAATAATCCTATAACGCGATGGTTTTCGCAAACGCATGACGTACGATCGTAAAACTTATAAATACGCGAAACCGCGTATTTATCTTACGGGTCTTCGATTTTATCAACGATTGTGTATCGACCGATCGCGTCTTATTATGTTGTAACGTGTACGTAGTGTCTCGACTTTCGTGTAAATGTCGAACGCATGTATTTTTTTTTTTTTTTTTACTTTCATTTGTAAATTTTTTCATTCACGGAATTTCCAGCGGTGATTTAACGATTGTTCTAAGATTATACTTTTTATGTATTTATTTTATTTTATTATTTTTTTTTTTCGAAGGCAGATGCATAAGGATTTATTCCGTACGCGCCATCTAAATATTATATTACATTATATTTGATACATTTTACTACTACAACTATTATTATTATTATTATTATTATTATCATAATTACCTATATAATTTTGTGTACTTGTACTTTTTTTTTAGAACAACTATTAAACGACGTACATTTTATTATAAACACTCTGTAATTATTTATTGCCTCAATTTTGTCTTATTTCTTTACTTATTCTCCCTGCTGTGCTACAATATCGCACCGCCTGTTAAATATATTCAATCGTCTGTTATATATTTTAATGTTTTTCAAGACGAGATATTAATAGGCATACGAAAAAAAAAAGGAACGGATGTGATGCAAACAATTGGTAAAATGTGTGTACTAAAAAGTACACATTTTCATATAGATATTTCATACCATATTTGTGGTCGATCAACACACATCGATTGAAATGTATGCATTATATGTATAACATGTGAATGGCCTTTTAAATTGCTTTTTCTTGAAAATCACATTAAAGACTTAAAGAATGGCACTAATAAAATAAAAAATAAAAATATTTGTGCACACGTAAATACACGAGTATAAACGACGACGGATACATAAGGTGCAGATAGGAATGTTCAGACGCATCAGTAAAACATCGGAGCATTCCCTTTCGAATTGTAGGACATATATAAAAATATTTTGGAAAATCTAGAACTTCGCATGTATTTCTTCGTGGTTGACAGTATAAAATTCAAAAAAGATATTGCTATTCAACGAAAACAAAGGCGATAGGTATAATTTTGGAAAATATTTAACTTCGTAATAGTAATTATTATAATCTCTAAATTATTATTAAATATTTTTTTTTTTTTAAATTCTGAATGAAATGGGAATGTATTGATTTTACCGCGATGTGTATGTTTTTTTTTTGTTTTTCTTTGTATACGATTTCGATCAAAAAGAGTAGCACTCTTTCAGGTCATCACCAGATAAAAATTTAAAAAAATTAATTCTAATTGGTACTTTCAGGTGATTATTTTACCAATTTTTAAATAGTTTATTAATTTTTTGCGAAAAACTGACAAACATTTTGAAAAATAAGGTAGAATTTACGGCTCACCAGCACTTGGATGGGTGACCATTTGGGTGTTAAGTGGTTCGGCGTTCGTCGGCATCATAAGTTTAACGTACAGTTGAGATTCAAAAATAATATTAGTGATAAAATAGTTTCTGATAATGAAATCAGAAAAAAAAAATAAAACATTTTTGTAATTGACAAGTCTAGCTGTAAGCGAACTCCATGGCTTAGTTATGGCGTGTTTCATATAAGCAATATTGTAGTTTTTATCATCGCACACTCCAGCGCGTATGCAGATACGCCTTTAATGTCCTCAACATGTCCGAATAAATAGAAGACGAGAGAGAAAAATAGCGCCATATTTTTCAGTTAAAGAAGTTTCGTCAAAACAAGGGCGTATTTGAGGCGGGGTGAAGGGGGCATTCGCCTTTATCCTTAGTTTGAAAAAAAATTAAATAATTAAGCCGATACCCAAAAGTTATAATGCCTCGACTTGTCACTGAGGAGTATTCAAGGTAGGTCGTTTTTTTTCGATTGCTTGTCATTGTTTTCGGTGTTAGTAAATTATGCATAACAATGCGTAGCCTAACAAATCGTGTAATATACCGTACTGCTAAATAATTGCGCATATATTGTGAACATTTTTGCCGCGCGTTAATTTATATTCACTGCGATGGTAATTTGTTCGTGATCCACTAATTATGCGTATTATTCTATTTATAAATGTAACTTCTAATGTAACGAATTCGTTAATTTTTATACAGAAGTAATCAGTTGTTCTCTCTGTATCCTTATTCACCTACTACTGTCAGTGAAAAGTAACAATGACGAATAATGACGTGATGTATAAATAGTTAGTTGCTGTAGTCGTCTCCGATAAGCGTATCGATGTAACGAAATAAATTCATGTATGATTATATGATGTCGCATACAACAAGAATAAAAAAAACAGTTTTTTTTTTTTTTTTTAAGCTCGGTTATCTGTCAATGATTACGTCATCTATTTAGCATTGAGTGAAATGCTTTTTACAAAGGTCACGGAGATAGCTTAAGTATTTGTAAATCATGCCTAATTATAAATACCAATCGTGTGTCTATGCGGTTTGTGGTCGATTAAACCATAAATACTACTTTAGCTTGTTTGGATGAACATTTTGTAAATAGTGACAGTTCAACTCAAACAGTAATAATAATAATAATAATAATCGGTTTTGTTTTGCGTTTCTTGAACGTTAATCATAAATTAAACGTGAATCTACGTTTTACCTAAATTTTAAAATATTTTTACAGTCGACCTTGTTGGCGAAAAAAATCGCCTTGATCGTAAAAATAATAACTATAGTAATATTAGTTTGGCTTATTGGAATAAAACAAAAAATATAAATTACAGATTATTTTTTCGTCCCTGATACTCTGCCATCCAGGCCATATTAAACGGTAGAAGGGGTCTTAAGTTGTTCTTACCCCTTCTACCATTTAATATGGCCCTGGAAATTATTTAAATATATTATTGAATATAATCTCTTCAATTCAACCGTATGAACAAACGTTAAAACAATTATGTCTATGTACATACACTAATTGTATTCACGCGTATTACTCAAACCGAAAATCTCCAAATCACGAAAAATTTTAAATAATTAAACTCAAACACCTAAAATTTCTTTTGAAATTAATTTTTCCTACGGTGATAAATAAGCGCTAAGACAAGACTTTAAAATCAGTGAGTACGGATTTGCGTTTATAATGTTTGTCCGCTTTATGTACAAATAGGGCTATATATATATGACCCGAAATGTAAACAAACAAATTACATCCTTTGTTGATTAAACGACAAAGCTTCAGTAAAAATATGTTATTCGTCAAGAAATTATTTGGTTTTCATTATTTCTTTTGTTATCATCGTCAAATGTATGCATTTATAAAACAAATCGAAAACCGTTACATTATAAAATGCGATAAATTGTATTTCGTGAACTAAGATGAATTTAAGATGAGAAGTGAGTCAAAACAACGCCGCGGAAAAAAGGACAAATTTATTTATTTCGTCTTAAAAGTAGAAGTATTATAGGAGTAAGAAATATTTCTCAGTAATTGAAAATTCATATGTCTATTTGAAAATATGATTTATTCTTTTAATTTCATTCCGCTAACTTCAAATATTAATATATTTCCTATACTCTTTCGAGTTTTGATTTTTGTAATTTATATTTTAAATTTATTTTACATTTCAATTACTTACTCATTAATAATTGGTCGTTTTTGATTTATATAGACATCTTATTTTTATATTATTAACTATATTACATGACTGAATGTGAAATTACTTTTTTTGATTTTATAATATTACAACTATAGTTGTTCTAATAATTAGTTATTCTTTGATACACGGAAAATCTGTACGTAATGCTTCTTTGATTGAACCAAACCTGTCAGGCAAACAATTTATAGTACCCAAAAGGTCATAATTCAAAAAAACATTTTTTTTTTTTATAATTTCACCGTTTAAGGTGTATGAAAAGTCGGAATTATTAATTAATTACCTATACTCCTGCCTAATTTTATTCGTATTCCTTAAATTTATTATTTTTTTGGCATCCACAGCTGAGGGTGAAGATTGGATCTAAGAATTTCAGCTCCCAAATAAAATTTACTAAAGGTAGCATTCATTACAGGTTTGAATCTACCCCAACAAGACCATTCGACTGGGTAACCTGACATGCTACAAAATCCAGTGTCAGATTACCTATTAGGCGGAATGGGTGCTCCCGCCTTAGGGCCTCACTCATTTAAGGGGCCCTGTGAAAACGGAAAACTATATTTTTATTTATATAATAATACCTGTATTTTATTTACGAATTTACGGGACAAAATACATTATGAAATATAATATAATACGAGAATTATATTACATTGTAGGTGTTATACGCAGCAATACTAATAAATTTATTTAAAAAAAAATAGAAATAATATAATAATTATTTAATTTTTCTCGCAAACAATAAAATTCGATAAACACGATTTTATTTATTAATAATAGTTGGGGTTATTATTAAAACTGTTTATTTCAGTTATCGGATAGTGATGTTAAGGACGTATGTGAT